TTCGGATTTTTTTTAATATGTACTGTAACCGTAATAATGAATGTATTCCATTTGGCTTTTACACACTGTATATATTTCACATAATATTAAAGAATACAAATTTATTTTCGATAATATTTTTGTGACACATGTGTATAATGAATTATTCAATGAATGAATAAGATGAATAATTCATTATATTCTCATAAATCATTTAAAATCATCATTTCATATACAGTAAATAGAAATCATCATGAAATCGACATGACTCCTTGCCTTCCCACACTTTATGTTTCAGGTAATTTTTCAGTTTACTTTTGTCTATTAATGTCTTTAAACGATTTTTTTCACAGTTGCAATTGTGTCACAATCACTTTCAAGAGGCAATTCACAAATTGAGCAACAATAGCTTTCTCAAGCGTTTTCATCCTCACTGAAATTTACTTGATCTGTGCTTTACAATTGGAATCATGTGACCTTCTGCCTAGGTAATGACTTGACTTTACCTCAAAACTTATGGAAAATTTTAAACATAAGCAGATGGCGTTACATACCTCTTTTTACAGAACAAAACTCTACAATTCTGCAAACAAAAATTGCCACTATGTTTATAATCAATGCTCTCCGAGACATTAAATTCAGAATATCACCAAATTTGATATCGAAGAAACACATTGATTCAACCATTTTCTATCGAACTTTTTTTGAAAAGTTCAGTCAAGAAATAATTATGGAAAAGCTCAACATCTACACATAATCTTTGTATTTCACAAAAGCGCATTCTGAGATATGAGATGCCTGTGATTATAGGTTATTATAACATGAAGAATTTTCATGCAAATCTGTCGGCCAATATGGTTTACTTGATTTCATTTGGACTTGAAAATAACATCATATATCGTTTATATCACTATACCTATTGCATATTTTATGTTATGATGTAAATTGAAAGGATATATGAATTGTCTGAATTTAGTGGAATGATGACGCTACTAACCACCGTTATGTCGATGCTACATAATATATTATTATTGTAGGTTATGTCTGCATATGCATGAATGTTTACCCCGATTTCTTTGAATTACTTTTGTGAACCCAAAATAATCTAGAATTATCAATAGTGTTCATCAAGTCTGTTTGTCAGTGTGTTTTCATGTAAATATTTCAATGGAAATATCTTTATTGCAGTCAGTAAATATGTTTGCTATTCTGTTCATCTTTTGGACTGAAATCAAAATAATTCATGAAAAATATTACATCTTTGACATGTGACTATCAAAAAGACTGTCCAGGATAAATTTGGCGAAGACTTTCCACCATTAACAAAAACATTTATCTAATGGCCAATGTGTGTATGGCCAAAAAATATCACTGGAGTACTACTTGGCGTTTTTATGAAATTCAATGTAATTTTGTGAAAACAGTTCAATTAATAATGATTTAAAAAATAATGTAATACAGTTAAAGTGTTCTGAGTCAATTTGTATTACCTATTGAGCGGATTTTGGAAATAGGGAATATTCCTATATTGTGATAGGTATATCATCATATATAAGTTGCCCTATCATGAAACAGAAATTACCGATGATTATTTTTTGTAAAATTGCACATGCACCGTTTGATTTGAAAACTTGAATTACCCTTTCATTAATATTGAAATGTATATTTTTCTTTTACGTACCTACATTATTCATCCGTGTTTTATATTGTTTCTTGAATATTTTACGAAGTATCCTTACCTTAGAACCCACATAAAAAACAATATCGCCATGCTCCACCCAGTAATCAATAAAATATTCAAATAGCAAAGAACAGAACCATAGAAAAAATCTATTAATTACCCAAAATGTACAATCTTTCGAATTTAACACAATCCTAATATATTTCAACGAACGTCATCACAACTCACACCTTTATTTGTGATAATCTCACAACATAACATCATTTATCAAGGGGGACAAATCTGGTGAATTAGGTGGCAGAGGCATGATTACGGTCTTGTTTTTGTCCAAAAAAGTACGAACAAGCAATGACGAGTGAGCAGGTGCGTTATCGTGATGCAAAAGTGATGAATTGTTTTTCTACAATACCGGACGTTTTATTTGTATTGCTTCTCGCAAGTGGCGCATAACTTCAAGATAATACTCCTTATTGACCATACTATCACGTGGCAAGAAATCCTGATACACTACGCTATGGTAATCGAAGAAAAAAGTGAGCAAACCCTTGGCATTTGATCGAACTTAGCGTGCTTTTTTTTGCCTTGGCTCTCCTGAGCTCTTCCATTGGGACGATTGGACTTTGGTTTCGATGTCATAACCATACCCATGATTCGTCACCAGTTATGACCCTTTTAAGCAAATCTGGATCGCCGTTGACGTCATTCAACATTTCCTGGGCGATGCTCATGCATGACATGAGTCAACCGATATGCTTACATCCTCAGCAACTTCTCGAATAGTGATTCGACGACTCTCCATAACAATTTTCTTCACTTTTTCAATATTTTCATCGGCTGTTGATGTGCTGGGGCGACCAGGGCGAGCATCGTCATTCACATCTCGACCTTCTGTGAAAAGCTCTTATAGGTAGTACTTGTAAACATTTTTCTGTCTCAGGGTACAATCACCATGCCACTGTCACCACTTCAAGTGTTTTTGAGTACTTAATTCCAATTTTTACACTTTTGTCTCTCACCAACAAACTAAACATATGTTCGAGACGAGTGTTCCAACATTACAAAATTAAAAATAGCTAATCCAATATACGTAGCCCGCGACCAGGCCTCGTATATTTGACATTTCATAATTATTCAAATTTTTTTTTCATTTCAGGTCACAATAATTTGTTTGCTTCACAAATTAGCGTTCTTACTTTTTTAATCTTCATGCTCAATGCTCATTTATGTTTGCTCAATTTTTTCTGTCTTAATTAATTGTTTTAATTAAGTCACTGATCTAGGTGTTACTTTTGATTCATCCCTCTCTTTCAATAACCATATTGACACTACTCTAATAGCAGCTTATCGCATGTATGGATTCTCAGTTAGAAATACAAAAGTTTCCGAAAAAGCTTCATTGAAATTACTTTATTTCACTTTTGTTCGATCTAGGCTGGAATATGCATCTGTCGTGTTGAATCCCTACTATCAGGTTCATATAAATCAAATAGAGGCGCTTCCTAAAATATATGTCTTTTAAACTTCAAGGCACGTATTCTGCTACTGTAGGAATACCCTATTATGAATTGCTTGTAATTCACAATTGTTGTAGTCTCGAGGTATGGCGTAAATATTATTCATTTCTTTTTTTATTCAAGGTCATAAACACTATCATTACCTGCTCTCAACTGTTACGTATGTAACAGTTGAGAATTTTAGGGTTCCTAGTAGGTCATCTAGGAATAGTGTCACATTTTATCTCAACACTCCGCGTACAAATATAATGAAAACATCTCCAATTTATACAATGTGCGATATTTCTAATTCTGTTAGTCATGTTCTTAGCTAACTGACACTTCTGTTTTTATTTTTTTTATATAGATTCACAAATTATATTATGTAAGTACATATTTGTAAATTCCACTGTTACTCCCTATTCTGTAATTGGGTTCATCATGTACAATAGTGTATGAAATAAATAAATAAATAATTATTTCAGTACAGTAATTTTAGGTATTTTCAATAATTTTAATATTTCATTCGAATTCATTCTAATTGTTCTTTGATAGATTTCAAATCTGTCAACACCTTTTTTAGACAATGGAAATCCGAATTTGTAACATTCAACTATATATTACACTATTATTGTTAGGTTTCGTTTTTAAACGAATTGTATTTATATAGGGTAAGCCTTTATTGTGATTTTTTTTCTAGAAGTAAGCTATACTGACGAAGCTATTGTATAGTGAAATACGTGTTACAGTTTTATGAAATGTTCAGTGAAAATCTCACTATGAAGTTTTACTTAAATTCATTATCATGAATTTTCATTATCATGAATTTTCATCAAATACCCTCACATATTTCAAGAATTGGATTTCTCAAATTATACTAATTGTGTACTAATTTTGCCTGAATCTTTCTTGTGTTCCACATACAGGGTCTTTCACGACGATCGTTCGTTATGAATATATGGAGTACGATTCAAAATAAAAACTTGAAATTTTGTGATAGTGGGTTTTACAAAATTGTCTTCTCAACTAAAATATTTTCAACTTCCAGTATCTTTCCGTTATACCGGAAGTTGAGGGCAACTTCTTTATTTCAAATATAACACCCTGTATTTTATTACATTTTTGAATTTCTCATAACTCATAGACAGTAACAGTTGCAAATGTGAAATTTCACAGAATCACACCTTAAGCATCAAGTCATGAAAAGGTCCATCGAATTTTCGAAAATACTCTACAGGGTGGTCGAAATTTCCACCTAAAACATAACATCGAGAAAACTGATGAAACACAATTTTTTCAAATGGAAACCATACACTATTCTAGTATTTTGGGATACTACGAAAAAAAGATATCAAATTCATGAAGAATGTCCAATACTTAAAATACACCCCTGGCAAGATACATCCGATTTTGGGAAATATTTGAAATGTAAATCATTCGAAGCAATACCAAACCAAAAAAGCTTTGAAAACAAATGAAGTTACAACCAATATGTCAAAATTTGATGCGATATAATTGACGTGTATATTTCGTAGTTTTCTATTTGTGTGCAAAATGTCTTGTTTGGGGTATTCTAATGAAGATTTCCTGAATTTAATAATCATTTATGGTGAATGCAATAAGATAATGGACAGAACTTGTCGTGTTTTTGCAGAAAGATTTCCAATTCTACACAGACCGAATAAATATTCGGAGAAGACTTCTAAGAAACTTATTTTGCAAAACCCACTACCACAAAATTTCAAGTTTTTATTTTGAATCGTACTCCATATATTCCTATGGTGGCTCGTCGTGAAAGACCCTGTATAGGTATGTATCATTCAGGAAAGTAAATTTATTTTTTTCAGGGGTGTTTGACCATGCCATTGGAACTAATTTATTTTTCAACTATGAAAAGGATGTATCTCAACAAACCGATGCCTTCGATAATAGAGGACCAATTCATCTTGAGTATATTCTCGGAAATACCAAGGTACTATCTTTGAAGCAAGTAAAAGTTCCTCCCAGGAAAGTAAATTTACCAAAGGAAAAGAAAAAAATCATTTTTAATTTAGATTGGGACTACAATACACTCTTAGAAAAATTGGAGAATGGTTCGTTGAGTGGTGAAGATATTGTCAGTAGAACAAAAGATGATATTTGTATGAAAACAGAACCGATTGATATTCGTGAAAATCATGAAGAAATTAATAATGAGAATCTAGATGAAACGATTTCAATTGACCAAGATCCTGAAGAAATTACAAAAGTGCAAAATGAGTCACCTGATTTGTATAAAATCGAACAAAATTGGTATAATCATTCACCTGTGAAAAAGTTGGAAGAAAAATATAAAAAACTGAAGGATTTGGCACTGAGACCAATGCAAGTACAGGTTACTCCCGAAATTATTGAAGAAAGTGATTCCAAATATAGAGCAGCTCATGAATATGACTCGCTTGAACGACAGGTAAATTCACCCAATACTCTTATTTTACTAGGTACAATATAGAGTGAAGGTTATTATTTGTGGAGGGTAGTTGTTTATTCGTTTAGACATACTCGAACAGTATGGTATTAGAAATGTTGACTTGAATGGTACCAAAAATAATTTCAAACAGGGTGCCATTTTGAGACCAATTTTTTATATTCATTTACAAAACCGATATCATTAATGCAGACATTTTTTCTTTGCTTATATCTGACTCGAATCAACCAGTACTTATGGAACAGTGTGCTCGAGCCATACATAACACATCATCTTTTTCCTATACTTAAGATCTGCATTTGAATACAATTACAGCATAATTAGCTTTCATATGTTTCAAAATACAAATGTGTCAGTTTTTTATTCATCGTAAACAATACTCTGTTGAGTACAAGTCAAACCTAGTAAATTTTCCGGATGTATACGAGGTATGTTAAAAAAATAACGGTATGTTTCATTATTTGAAAAAATATTTATTCGTCTACAATAACGTGTCAACTTCAAAATAGTCCCCATTAGATATTATGCAATTATGTAGGCGCTTCTTTCAATTCTCGGAATACTTCTTAAACTCGATATTTGGGATAGCCTTTAGCTCTTTCGCCAATGCACTTTAAATGTCATCTTTGCTTGTAAATCAACGGCCTTTTAAGGTTCTCTTTATTTTTGGGATTGAAAAAGTCACAGAGTCATGTCTGGCAAATATGGAGGCTTGGGGATTGTTACACTACTGTTTTCAGACAAAAAATCACGAGCAAGCAATGTAATGAGCAGGTGAAATTCTCGACAGTGAAACACAACATTCAGATCGGTAACAATTTTTAATATTTTGATATTATGACACACTTATTTTTATGTCACAAATTTTAGAAAAAATCATGACAAACGAATTCATATGAATATTTTCGGAGGAATGTATTTAATTATAGTAATAACAATCATTATAATAGGATTGACCAAAATGAAAACACTTTTATATTTCATTATTCAAGCAGAAATGGATACATAATAACAAACAGTAACAAAATTTATTCATATTGAGAAGTTTCCCTTTATGCAAGTTTTCTTGTATCAGGGTCTATTGGGTGTCGTATATAATGATTTTAGAAGTTTCATCGAAGACATTTTTGATATTTTAGAACTTAGTAGTAAATTCCTTTTCTATTTCTGAGCTTCAAGATGATACAAAAAACTATTCATCTACATAGTTTCACATACCAAATATTGATGAGGTCATGAGGAAAATTTCCTTAAATATTTTTGTTTCATTGATATCATTTAAATTATCAATGAAATTTCAATCAAGTTTCTCACATACTGATTTCATCCAACGCTTTATACAAATACATTTGAATTTCTAATATTCATGCTATGTTCAAAAATTGCTTTTCATTGATTTCTGTTTCTGTAGTTAGTAAGACTTCTCAGGGATTTATAATGCAAAAGATAAAAATATTCTGAAGAAATGTATTTGAGATATTATGTTTACAAATAAATAACTTTTCAATATTTTTTAGGTTGTCAAAATGAGCAACAGTTTTCGTGAGGAACCTACAGTAGAAATAAACTCGAAAACTTTTTTCAGTCATGTGGATATTGACCGTTGCGTTCTTTATGGAATCTTACCAAAATCTGTCAAAAATTCACAGCTGCTTAGTGAAAAGGAAAAACAGAAAGTTCTCACTCTCGATAATTTTGACAATCTCTCCTTGGTTGCTCGTTTCAATGTATTGAAAAAGCAGGTTGAAAATTTGGAAGTAGATTTTAAGAACAAAAATGAAAGAGAACTCAACCTGAGAGATGAGTTTGGCAGAACCCCATTAGAGACTTTAGATATCTATAGAAGATTACAAGATGCTGTGAAAAATCGTATTGACAGTATTGGCTGTACTCTAAGTAATTCTGAGATTCATAAAAAATCTCTAGATGGAATTAGTTAGAAGTTTCATTTGGCAAACTTACACCTGAACAGATAAATTGCTCACCAGATCTTTGTTGACTGCTCAGAATATCCCAAAGTGTTTGAACAAAAATCAAGAAGGAGAGGGCCAGAAAGAGGAGTTGCTGGTTGTCAAACGAATTTATTATTTATTTATTTATTTATTATCAAATGAATTCTGAATGATTACAATAAAAGATTCAAATTTTGTGGTTACCCATCCTTTACCCTTCAAATTCATAATATTTGTAGGTATCATCACCTATAAACGACAATATTTTTGAATAGAACTGGCCGATACTTGATGAAAATCCATATTGAAAAAACTAATCAATACAGTTTATTGTATGATTTTCACTATAATTATATTCACTATAGTTATAGTGAAATTCATACAATAAACTATCATACACTATAACTATAAGTTATAGTGAAAATCATACAATAAACTGTATTGATTAGTTTTTTTTGGCAATATTTTTCATCACTGTCTGAACTTCGTATGAATGTAGTAGTAGTAGTAGACTTTATTTTAGGAATTAATATACAATATATAGTTATGCATATATGAATAATTTATATACGTATATAATTTTACAGTGCGTCATGTATTACAATTTGATATATTCTAATAATAACTTTTTGAATACTTTTAAGGNATGCAGTCAACTCCTACTGAATTTGAATTCTTCAAATTTTTTATAATTTGTACAGTTTCTTGATTACAAACCGGGTTAAAGTAGAAGGAATTATTAAAATTCAAATTGCACTTGGTACATGGTTCAATATGATCAATTCCAAAACGATTGTCTATTGCAAGTTTGTCAGTTTTTGAAAAATGTTCGGAAAAACTATCAGCAACCATTTTTTCATCATAAATAATTTCACTACCGATTTTAAATTCAATATGTTTTCGATAAATCTCTATATTCTAATTCTAAGTGTTCATCTGTGAAATTGTTTTTGAGCCAGTGCAAATTTTTCAGAGTTTCCCCCATTTCTATCGTTTCCTTAGTTATCCAATATTTTTTATTGTTAGTTCTTCCATTTTCATTTCTTTTTACAAGTGGGCAATAGAGGTCGAGTAGCATAACATTTCGAGAAAGCTTCTATACATTTCATTAATGTCAACAAGGGTATTCAAAAAGGGAAAGTAGTCCTCTGTTAAATGATTTCGTAAGTTTTATATGTTATCTTCTCCCACGTCCCGGAAAATTGATTGGTGGCTTTGCCTTATGCATAATTTCATTTTTATATTCAAATTAAGGCCATAGTGATCGGCCAAATTCAGATCATGATTACTTTCGTCATAGTTTTCACTGGGCAAATTAGTGAAAAAGTAGTCAATTTTTGTGTTTGCTGTCTTTCTGTTAATGTTTTTGAATACCCTTGTTGGCTGGGTATTCTTTGTACATAGATTGTAAGATTGCATGAGATCTAAAAAAAAATTTTTTGTCAATCATATGTCATGTATTATAATTTGATATATTCTAATAATAACTTTTTGAATACTTTCAAGGAATTTACATGTTTTATTTCATCAGGTAACTTATTGAAACTATCTAGACCTTTAAAGAACAATGAATTCATTCCACTCTCATAGTTTGTTTGGGATATATAAAATGTATTAAATGTTCTTGTGTTATATGAATAAATGTCACTATTTCGAACTAAATATCTGCTAAGATAGGCTGGTTGTCTCCCACTCGTAATTTTGAAAATAAAAATCATGCTGAAATAATACAGTATTTTATGTACCGGCTGCCACTGTAGAGTATTCAACATAGATTCAATAGGGGTATACTGGTTGCATCTCAAAATGATTCTCATACCTCGATTTTGTATTTCCAAGATGAAGTACACAAAGAATGTTTACAGATCTCAATTAATCGATGAGCATCTTAAATCTCTTTTGATAATTGATACAATTAAAATTGATCCACAACTACAAAGTATGGTCGGTGGAAAATCACAATTATATAAATGTCATTAGTGTTTTTGTTTTACTGTGATTCATTCCAATTATTTGTTAGTTATTAATATGCTTAAACTTAGATACTTAAGTTAAGTTTTCTTTGCCATCATTTCTCTCGTTAAGTTTTAACAAAAATTAAGAAGTCATTGGCTGTCGCGGGCCAGATTGATGACAGTAAATCATTGGCTGTCGCGGGCCGGATTGATGACACTGGCGGGCCGGATTTGGCCCGCGGGCCCTAGTTTGGAGACCCCTGATCTAGGAGGTTGACGTGATGTTACAATTGGGATGTTGTGAAAATATTATAGATAGATATTTGCCATCATGGTGTAACGTTTTACTGATATTACAATCTGATATTTTCACCATATATTAATAAGTATGTAAGACAAAAAAAGGAAACCGATGAAATGTCTTTTTGACATCTGAAAACCATATCGCAAAACTTTGTGTTATCCCGCCGTAAGATGTAACCATGTTGGCTGATATTCCCTATCACTTGTCCTTTTCCTGCAGAAAGGCTGACTGTTGTTCCGGTATGTCTCTAAAAACATTTGAATCTTCCAAGAAGAAGAATTTATAGGTTACTTCAATTTGTTATGATTTCCCGGTTTCCCGCCAGATCTCACCGTTAACCTTCATATTGTTAAATTTTAATTTGTTTTGGGCCGTCTTGTTGTGAAGTATTTTTAAGTGAAAAATAATCGAAATATGTCCCAACGTGTAATAAATATGATTATGAAATTTATCTCTATTTTAAGTTGTATTTATTTTAGCCAGAGGAAGACTCTCCTGTGGGGACTCCGCGCTCCAATGTATCTTCTCCAGGACCTGATTTCGAACCTTTTGAAGATGAAGGTGCTCTTCTTGGAGACATTGATGCAGACATGGAAGAGGAAGATGGAGAAGAACTATTTGGGGATAATATGGAAAAGTAACTGACACATTTATAGATCTGACACCTTTTTAAGTAGTATAATAATAATAATAATCGTTTTTATTGACTGAAATACAAATTATATAAATGCATAATAATATGACGTTACAAAATATATAGAAAATATAGAGAAAAAAATGTCAGTCAAAAGGCAGAGTTCAAGTCTAGTAGGCAGAAGAGACTTGTTCTTCCACTCAACCACCTTTATCATTTATTTCACTTCATTCAGCAAAATCAAAATTAAGATTGATATTCGACTTTTGGTGCAAGTTAACAAAAGACCTGGCATAGTCTTCCTAATAATTTTTTATAGAAATNTGATGAATTTCACTAGTTCGGACTTCCATTGTCTACTATATAAAATGATTTGAAATCCCTGAAACAAGTAAAAAAGAATAATTAAAAAAGAATAGCTGAAAATAACAATTATATTAAGCAACAATAAACAAACAACAATAAACAAAGAAGCAATGCACTAAGGAATTAAGGAAAAATGGCAAGAATCCATGGTAAAAGAAATGGAGTCGTTGGCCAAAAATGAAACTTGAAATTTAGTTCCTCTATAAGATTACATGAAATCGATCGACTGTGAATAAGTTTACTAAATAAAGGAATGAAGTGACGAAAATATAGATTCACTATATTTAGAATTCTGTTGGAAATGGCAAATCAACAAAGATTATATATTCACCAAATGGACGTCAAAACAGCTTTTCTAAATGGGTAACTTTCTGAAAAAGTCTACATGAAACAGACAAAAGGATTTGTGAAAAAAGTTTTGTGTGCCAACTAAACCGAAGTTTTTATGGACTAAAACAAAGCCCAAGGAATGAAGCGAATGAAGATAATCATCAAAATTTCGATAAACCGTACAGGCAACTATTAGGATCACTTATGTTTGCAATACTTGGATTCAGACCAGACTTGAGCTATTCTTTGAGTTACTTGAGCCGATTCCAAAATTAACCAAATGAATAAGCTTGGAAATGCCTGAAAAGAATTTTTAGGTATATAAAACGAACTTTAGGTATAAAATTAAACTACAACTATACGATGATTCAAATGGGGGTAATAATATAAATGGAAGAAAATCAACAATTGAACTTTTTTTCAAAGTTTATGATTGTCCAGTATCATGTTGCTCCAGAAAGCAATCTATGGTAGCTCTTTCTTCAACAAAGGCTTGAGTATGTAGCCTTATTTACTGAAGCATGTGAACGTATGTGGATAAAAAGTATATTGGAATAATTAGAGACTCAGAAGGATCCTGTTATATATTGTAACTTCATACCAATAATTAAAATAACCAAGTTTAGAGTTAGGAATTAGCCAACTTTATCTCTTGAAGAGGCCGACTTGTTTTTTAAAACGTGTTGAGAATAATGTTGAGTTATGGCGTTTGTAAGCAATTCTAGTTTTGGAAAATTATTTAATTACATAGTTCGGACTTCCATTGTCTAATATGATATAAATTGATTTTGAAATCCCTGAAAGAATCTATAAAAATTAAAAAGATATTTTTGATTTTTTTGGTTGTTGCTTGTATTTTATTTCATTGTAATTTCAGTTGTTTGCTTGATATAATTGTTATTTTTCAGCTAATCTTTTTAATTTTTATAGATTTTTTCAGGGATTTAAAATCAATTTATATCATATTAGACAACCACCTTCAAACAGACGTTAAAATTATTCAACATCGGATGTATCAATATCACATATGACAAGTTTTCACAAAATTTGAAAGAAATAACTTAATATGTTTTGCTTATAAATAAATTATGTTCACCATCATTAGATGCTCTTTTCTGTTTTTTGAAGAGACGTATATGTATAATCCTCATTTGGGAGATATACAGTCACAGGCCATTGAAAAAATTCAACAAGAAAAGACTGCCAGGGAAAGATCTTTATGCAAAAATCCAAAGACATGACATTTGTTTGTAAGAGGGATAGGTTGTGACTGAAAAGAGCTTTTGATCGCCCAATTGAAAAAGGTTTCTGATTTCTTAAGCAGATATTGGTTGAGGATGGTGGTTTTGCAATGGTTTTTGGGTGAAAACTTGTCTTTCTCATAAACTTGACATATTTTTAAATATTCGCAAAAGTTTTTATGCCCTACATGACCCACATGCCTTCGAATTACCCACTAGAAATTTATAATAGTAATCCTGTAAGTAGCTAATGACCTAGCAGTTGATGTGGCCTAATAAAAAAAGGAATACTGTAGAAATCCTGTCGAGGAAATATACAAAAATTGACTGTAAATATTTCTCTCGGAATTAATAAAATTCAATAAGATATATGATTTTAGTGATTATCGTCCCATGCCTCACTTGGATCGTTATGATGACCGTATTTTGGATTCTGAAGAATATGATCAGATGTCAGTTGGAGAGCGGTTGGCAGCAGAAGAAGAACTCCGCAGAAGAGATAGGGAAATGGGTGTATACAGAAGAGATGACAGAGAACTCTTCTATGATCAAAGCGATGATGAAGAAGATCCAAGACAAAGAAGGCGTAAGGAAGCAGAGAAAGCCGCTACAGGAGAAGTAGATGATTCTGAAATGATTGAATCAATAGAAAATTTGGAAGATACAAAGGGATACTCAATAAAGGAGTGGGTTATTATGATGGGTCCTAGGACTGAAATAGCTAACAGATTCAAGAACTTCCTGAGGACATATGTGAACAATAAAGGGCAGTATGTATACAAGGAGAAGATAAGAAGGATGTGTGAAAACAATCAGGTAATTATTTTTAATATTAAATGTTGAGTTGAAATGTATCATGGATATGAGAGAGTACCAGTCAATGAATAATCAATCATTTATTTAATCCTGTGGAACTTACAAAGTTGTTGGACTAGTCAATTTCAAATGTAAGTGTGAAAATCACTCATTAATATAGTATAACTAGTCATAGGACAGCTAGTTAATTCCATCCTTTTAATTTTTTGTAATTCAGTGGTTCAAAACAAAGACTGCTTTCTCAAGTTACTTTGCACTACGTAGCTAAAGCGCATAATTCAAACAATCTATTGTTGCTAGCTCTATAGACATATAACACATTGTTTCTAATTTGGGTGATCAAAGCCTTCTCTGAGGATAACAGTGCAATAGAAATAATTTAGAGGTAATAGTAAACAAAAGTCTGTTGAAATTGAAAGGAGATATTTTTAGGAGAGATTGGTTTTTGACTTTTTACTTCTCCATATTTATATAAAAAATGTATCTGAAAGTAGCTTCTATTTATGATTTGGGTTAGGGTTAGGTTAGGTTAGGTCCAAAGTGAGTGGGTGTATTCGACTCTCCAGCGCAACCTGCAAGAGTTGTGGGTCACACCTATTCACACTCGACCAAATAAACCCAGCTTCTTAACGAAGCCAATTAGTTTGTATGGTGAGTGGTCTTTCAGGTCAGATGGTAAGAGTACGGCTCTGCCGAACTCTAAAAACCTGATTCGCTCCCCAGCAGGGCAGGCACAAAGTATGTGCTCTGCTGTTTTATCATTTTCCAAACCGAGGCGACACACACTGTCTTCCGACAGTCTGAGTCTCTCCATATGATGATTCAAATGACAGTGACCTGTAAGAGGGCCTGTTAGACATTGTAGTTCATCCCTACTGTAGTCCAACAACTGAACAACTGTTTGGTATCAAGCTTCGAAGGGCGAATAAACGCCTTGGAGTGAGCCAATCCTGGAAGATTCTGCCAGAAGTACATCTTGCCATCCAGGTGTTCAATTTTTGTTTGACAAAGCCATTGTGTAGTGTTCCTACAAATGATATCTGATTCAATTTCATAAAGAATGTTTGGAGTACAAATTGAATAGAAAAATATGATTTTCATATAATTCAATGTTCGTATAAAAGCAGTTGTTTGAAAGTACTCTTTCTTTTGCGTAATTCAATGTTCATGTCAAAGTAGTTGTTTTGGAAGAGCTTCTTCTTCTAGTTTGAATCTGAAAGTAATTTGTATGCATAATCTAAACATCTTTGTGAATAGTTTATTTCAAACTTAATTACTTTCTTCTTTCTGGAAGTTTTTCACATTTTTTGTATAAACATGGAGAAGTAGAAAGCCAAAAACTTTTCTATCCCAAAAGCCTGTTAGTTCCATTTAAATTGTGTATTTTCGAAACATTCTCAAAAACAAGTGTGAGAATACATAATATAAGTAAGTGAAAATAATCCCGTTATATTCTGCGTGAAAGTCATTCTTTTTAGATTGCCCCTTTTTTTAGTACCACTCTGGTTTATAGGAAGTTTGACTCATGATGAACTCAAGCAAACAGACATTTTTTACACTGATTTACTGCCATCAGGGCATGAGTCAGAGCATGACATATTATTTGATAATGAAAACTAAATAGAGAGTGGGTTCAATTATGATTTGGGTACTATTGAATAACATACAAAAATCGATTTTAGCTTTTTCGGATCCGGAGATATCAGGGAGAAACAAAAAATCTTGGTATGTATTTTTTGCAAAGATATGGGGAATCTGTTTATACATTGCACTATGAATCTTCAGTGGTTCAACAGCATTTTCATGTAGTTTCTATATAGAATGTCACGTTAAGGAAGGTGTCATTGCCTCATTGTCTACACTGTCTGGTGTTGAATCATGAATGCTTTGTTTTTGGGCTCTTTCAGCTTGACAATATTTAATACAGTTAACAATTGGCAATTTTGAATACCAGTAAAATAAGTTGAATTATTAGATAAATAGCTCAGTTTGTGAGAAATTCTAGTAGTTTAGATGATGATGAGGAGCTTATTCTATTCTCGCATTTTAGTTAATAGCAACAAAACCAAATTCATCAACTATAAATCCTAGAATGAAAGATTTTATTTGTTATTGAATCTAATTTTAATCAAGAGTATATTTCTAATAAATTAATAACTAGTAAATATATAGTCTTCACAAATTAACTTACACAGTTAACCAGTAATGTTTAAAAAAAATTGCAAACTTCAATGAACCTTTCATTTTCTAAATATTGATTTTACTTTATTTAATTTTTTTTTGCAGTCCAGTTTTAGTGTGGAATTTCCAAACCTTGCTAACAAAGAACATGTACTTGCCTATTTTCTCCCAGAGGCACCATTTCCAATGCTGGAAATCTTTGATGAAGTTGCAAAGGATATTGTGCTTTCAATGTATCCCAGTTATGATAGAGTTACGAATGAAATTCATGTGAGAATATCCGATCTTCCACTAATTGAAGAACTACGGACATTTAGGTGAGGAAATAATTTTAAAAATGGACAAATCGTGTTTTGTAGATACTAAAATATTTCTTTGAATTTCCAGATACTGCTTAGTGTGCATTTGAATTTATTATCCTTTGTACGTATTATGAAATGTTATGAATAAACTTACCTTAATTCCACAAGTTTAAGAAATACACTTATTTTGAAGAAAGCAACTCCCTGAAGAAAGAAATCCGTAGAAACTTGTAACATTTCAGTAACAAATTGTAACTGATTTCAATGGATAGCTTAATATTTACAGAAATTTTCATTTGGGGATAATCTCTTCCTATGACACTATATTTTCTCTGTTTTCACATTAACATTTTTGCTTCCATAGTAGAAAATATCTTACCCAAAATATATTCATTACATTAAATCCAGTTGAATAAATTTCATATACTTTAAGGGTGGTACAATGTATGACATTTATACAGGGTGTTCCTTAAACACATGCTAATATTTGAGGAGGTAATTCTTAGACCCATTTTAAGGAAAAAACGTCCTATGGACGTATGTCCTAAACGCCTTAACTTTTGAGATACAGGGTGGCAAAGTTTATTATTGATGAAGTGATTGGTCTCTATACAAGAATGGTTTTATGAATTTTAGTAACTAAATGGAATATTGGTACTTGAAAGTATGAAAAAATTCAATAACAGATAAAAAAAATCATATTCATACACTATGCATTTGATGAAAAAATCAATTGAAAATACAACAGTACTATACGTATCTTGTTTCAGAAAACTTCATGTAAACCAACTTGTGCGAACTTTAGGTGTTGTCACTGCAACTACAGGAGTTCTCCCACAACTTTCCATTGTCAAGTTTGATTGTAACAAGTGTGGATTTATCTTGGGACCTTTCACACAGTCACAGGATTCTGAAGTTCAGCCAGGTGTCTGTCCTGAATGTCAAAGTAGAGGACCATTCATGGTAAGCTGTGACAATTTAAATGTTCAGTTTATTTGCCATAACATACTTTTATTTTTTTTATAGAAAAAATATGTGCTAAAGTAATCATTATTTGGGTTCAAACCATTATAAAATCTATTCGTTTTTGAAATGGCCTATGAAAGGTGGTGAGTTGAACCTTGAAGGGATAGGTAGTTTTAGTTTGCTTCTGTCATACTTTTGGAGAAATCAAGTAGAATAAGTCAATCGAACGCTTTCCATCGAAGCAACTACAGAAGGAGGTACCAGTTAACCTAATAATTCAGACTATTAAGTTTGCTCATGATGTTCAAATGTTCAATTAGTCTGATGGGTGTTTTTAAGAATCACGCAGCCTTAGATTATACTTCATAGTGAAGCTCGAAATGATCAATATAAAATTTCAAAGAGTTGTGATGATTGAATTCAGATGTAATGCAATCACAAATTATTTAAACAGATGACAAATATTTAGAAATCATATATGTGGAGGTGATGTGAACTGAGAGAGAGAGAAAGAGAGAATATGCTTTTATTGTTGCAAGATACAAAATCTTGTTGACAAATTGAAGGCCTAAAACTATCTTAAATCAAGGTAAAGTAAAATACGCATACCTACAACAATATATAAAATCTAGCACATGAGATACGTCATTATGAAATGACTATAATAGGGTTTATCCAATAGGAGAGCTTTTACTCCCTTTCTGAAATGTTCTACGGAACTTATTTCTTCAATGTGTTTTGATAACTGATTGAACATCTTACCGTCTCCATAAATTACTGAATCTTCAATTAGTGTCAGTGATGGGATCGGGAGTTGGAAGTTGCCAACTTGACAGGTGAGGGGATGTGTGTAAGTAGTGTCAAGTTTGTGAATATGTTTTTTATTTAGATATGCCGTTTCCATAACAAAAATTGTGAATACTGTTTACATTTGAATACATTTTGAATACATTTTGTGTTTAACAAAAAGAGGTTTGCAGGAATCTTGAATTTTTGCTTTGTACATGTATTTTACTGAACGTTTTTGTAGTGCAATAACAGAGTCCATGAGATTCATATTACACATTCCCCATAATGAGATTCCATATATATCAAATGGAATTCTACTAAGGAATGTATACATCCTTGGCGGAAGAAAGACCAAATTCATTCAATGTCATTCTTACTGCATAACATCCAGAGGACAATTTTGTATTCAAATTTGAAACCTGTCGTGTGATTTGATCCCGTTAGACTTTTTCTTGTGAGATCTTCTCAATTCGCAGGTATATGCGAATAAGTCGCAAACCACAGCGGTCCTCAAAGCCAACATAACCCATGCCATTGGTCAGATTCAGCCTGATTTATGCACCTGTGTCATGGAAGATTGGACATTTCAGATGCGCTCCACCTAGAGAAGCCTTGGACATTTGACATCAACAGGTCTGATTGGAATAGTGTCTTGTTAGAAGAGACACTGTTCGAGGTATTCT